ATCCCCAAAACCCCAAAACCCCAAAACCCCATCATATCATTTTTTAAAAATCTTAAAGAAATAATTTAATTTGATATCATTACTATTTGTATTTTTATTCATATTATATTTCTATATTTCGTCTTAATATTGGAAGCTTTTAAAGTTATAATTATCTTTCAACTTTTAATCTTTCTAGCTCTTTTTTATTTTTTTCAATTTCTTCTTACTGTCTTTATTTAGCTTCTTCCAATCTAATATTTTCATTAATCCTATCAAAATCATAAGCAATTTATTCTTCAAAGTAAAAGCTAGTTGTTTCAAAAATAGTAGACAAATTATTAATACTATTCTATGCCTATTTTGATAAAGATTAATTTAATTCTACTTATTCCTAGTGGTTTCTATGATTTTTTTAATCTTTTTCCAAAAATTAGTTTTTTTTCATTTGAATTTTATGATAATTTTGCTTACTTAATGAATGATTATTAATCATATTTTAAATCCTCTTTAGTTTTATTCTATTTTTTATAGCAATAAAAGTATTTCTGCCAATATTAAATATATTGATCACCATGAAAATAATTGAAATTAATATTGGTATATAGCCCAATTGCATCTTTGTATCATAGTCAATTTGATAATTATCTAAAAATGGAATGAATGAGTAAACAATATTGAGTATGCAAATTTCATTAAATAATTCTAATTAGTTCTATTTAACGGTAATGTATGGTCAGTATTCTGCTATATAAAAGCAAATTGAAAACTACAAAAGCATAATCAAGGTTAGCTAGACACCTTGGCAGTTATTGATGTTTGCTAAGATTACTGAGTATAATAGAGCTCTAAAAATCAATATAGGTGCAAATATTTTATGCTTTATTTTCATTTAATTAGGTATTTCTTCAACAAAAGAGAGTTTTAATCCATAATTAGAAACATGCATCAACACAATAAAAGGAAATACAATTGAAGATGTTAGAAATAAAATTGTCAAGATAGTAGCTGATAGGTCTAAAAAGTTCACCCAAATTAACTATAAAAATTAAATCGCTCAATTTTACATTCTAAATATTGATTAGTGAACAGATAATTAGCTCTAAATATGATTCTTAATAAAATCTCATCATTAAAGACTACAAATTATTCTTACTAAGCAGATACTATAACTTAATGATACTTAAAAATTAAAACAATGTAATTTACATCCAGGATTTAATTATCAAAAGCTGAATAAATAGCCCCATCAAAACAATGAGCAACATCAAAATCATTATGTAGAAAATAAGCCCAATATTAATGATTATATTTGTACTGTCATATCCCATTTATTCAAAGTAATCATTATGGACATCATTTTATATTTTTCTATTATCGTCATTAAAAACTACTCTATTCAGAAAATCTATTGGAATCAATTAAAAACTAGTGACATCATTGATGAATCCAAATAGCATTTAGGTGTTTGTAGGAACATTGATAGACATTAAAGGTAAATGTGATATTAATTAGAAACTATTAATCATCCCCCAGAGTAGACTCAAACTTTAAGTCCTATAAGTGATTAAATGAAAAATCAATTACAAAATAAGATTAAAAAGTATATTTGATCCCATAGCCCCTAGCATAGTAGTCTTCATTCCTTAACCTATAGTTTCAGCCAGATTACCAACCTCTATAAATTAAAAATTTATATCATACAAAATAAATTCTATTGAGGTATACTCTTTGAAATCTCATAATTCTACTTTATCATTTTTGTAGAGTCTCAGCTAATATAGAGATAATTCTTTCTGAAAAATATTATCAGTTCATCTCTTCCCTAAATTATTTATAATATAAGCTTACTTACTAAGTATTAAGATATGTTCTTATAATTTGCAAAGTATAATTGTAGACTTAGTTATATTGCTGTGATGCTAATAATTTCAAATTATACTTTATATTTTTGAGAGCTTTATTACACATAAATCTCGATGGAATCCTAATATGCTTAATTAATTTGATTAATTCCAGCAGTAAATTGTTCTTAAAGTAGTTTAATGTCTTTCTCGAATTTAATATTGACTTTGCCTTAATTACTGATTTGAGTGATATAAGCAAACAAATTCATAGGTTTTATAGTTTTAAGCATTATTTCTCGAATTTGTGAATCAAATATAGTTTAATCCAGGGTATCATTCAAAGTCTAATTACCTTAATCTTCTGACTTAATGATTTTCAAATGGAATTAATACTCTTATGATTTAGAATTAACATTATTATCAGCTAGTTAGATCTTTATTGTATGAATACCAATGAATTCTTTTGAAGAGGTTATTTAAAGAAATTTATTTCTCTATAACTAAATCATACTTTAAACCTCTGATGCATGCACAGTTATTATTATTTAATCAGACTCAGGATCATATATTCGAGGTAACAAAACAGTTTTTTATTCATTTTCAAAAAGTAAAACATCCTTCAATTCTCCTAAAAAGTATGGTGGATTATTGTTTTATTTTGATACTTCTGAATTTTTAACATTGATACTTATAAGGTAATAAAAGGTCTAACTTATTGCAGGATTTTTTTTCCTCTAAATATAAACGAGTAATCTTATTTAAATTGATCCACTATATTTTTTGCTAATTGTATTGACCTAGATTTCTTCTCGAACACTATCTAAATAAATGAAGTTTGGAGAAGCTCCAAAATTATAGCTTTTAAGCTCATATAAAACTATGTGATCATAGCAATCTTACCCTTAAAAAATGTATTCTTTTAAACTAATAATCAATTGGTTTTTCTGTCCCAGAGTGTAATTAAATTATTGTAAATTTTTAGAAACATTTAGGTAAGAATTTTTTAATTCCAAAATGCAATTCTTATTTACAAACAATTTTGAAGAAATTTGTAAAGGTTTATCATATCTTATCCACTTTTCGTCTATTAAGTAAATTCTCATATCGAAATTGCTATTTTCTAAAGCCTATGTCGCTAGAAATGTAAAATTAGATAATATTCCTTATTAAATAGTAAAACCATTATCTATCATAAGTTACTCTGTTTAATTTAGTATCTCCATATTTTAGAATTGAATATAAACGTGTAATAAGGGGTTTTTTATGTCTGGACAATCTTCAATATATAATGGATTTAATAATATAACACAATTTTCATCAACATAGCAATCAATTCTTTATGGATTATCCAAACTCTAAAATATATTTATAGGGCCAACATGATATATTAACTATTGCTCAGTATCATTTTTCTGCCTAGCATATTAATTTAAACTTTAATATCTTTGAAGAGTCTCAATTACTTAGAATTTTAATTCATTATCAATATCATTAGTGGGATTATCTGCAATGATAGATTAGGGTTAGTAACCCCAAAGAAAGCGAACGAAAGGTTCATCGGACTATTCTGACGTAAATGATAATGGGAGATAATTTGAATTTATATTATCACTAGACCAAATCATTCCTTTAGTATTACTATTTTGACCTTAAAGTTGAATCAAATAGTATCATATAATATTAGCTCTTTTTGAAAAAGTCCAATCATTAATAGTCTAAATACCTATGCTAGATCTAATTAAAATGATCGTGAATGAAGTTTAATCAACCTAATCATTGTAAAAAGTTTCAAGAGGTACCACTACAATTAATTATTTTCCAAGAAGATCTTGTGCTTGCTAAATCTTGTAGTTTATAAATAAGTTAGTATTGTCATTATCTAATGATACACATTTGGCAAATTTTGTTTAATTGTAAGCTCCATATTTATAGTATGTTTTAATCTCCACTTCTGATTAAAATTTCAGAATGATTAGTCCTAATGAAATTTCTTCACCAACATAAGTTTAGTCTTGTTCTGTGCATCCAATTATGTACCTGTCTTAATTAACAGATATATCCCTCAAGTATTTTATTCCTAAAATAATGTAAAGAATTTAAAAGTTTTATCTTACCTATGTGGAATTCATTAGGATTATTAAAGGCTATTTTTATTCCCGCATGGAAATTAAATGGACTTATACCATAAAATACAAAGCAGACTAAATAGTTTTCTTAATTTTCTTAAAATAATCTCCCAAAAAGATAGATAAATTCTGTAGAAATATCTAAGAACATTGAATTGATGATACTATTTGTGCTTGTCAACTACCTTTACCTATGAAATGAATTAATACTTACATCTATTTACAATATGACATTCTTCAACTTAGCATCAAATATTAGAATGTATGAATTTCCACCTTAATCTTAGGTAAAAATTATAAGCTCTCCCTTTTTATTCACTAAAATGCTCTGCTTCTACTCAAAAATTCTAAGTGTATTAACTTTGACGATACCATTCACATAGCCATCTTAATAATTCACCAAACCATAGATATAGAAATCTTTATCATATGATTTGCTAATTTAATTTGGAGCTATCTATATTGCAATCAAATCTATATCATCTCTATACAAAGATGTGTGAGTCGCTAATTTAATAAATTACCTTGTATATATTGATTGAACTTCTTTAATATTTTCATTATTTGCTTGATCTTTTAATATATAACTATAAAACCAAGCTAATCTTTTGAATCCCTCTCTAACTATGTATAGCCCCAGAATAGGCATATTTTCTTTCCTTCCTCCAAATACTATTCTTTAACCATTTTCTTGTAATTACAATGCATTTAAGTAAAAATTGTCTCCTTCAAGGTTACCAAATATCAATGGTAGTTAATTACTAGTGGAAACGCAGTTTTCAGAAGTTTGCCAATTTCCGCATTTTAATGCCTGTAGTATAATTAGAAGAATTAAAGAATTGATTTCAAATTTCATAGATACAGTCTTTAACAAATTCAATCTTTGAAATGGAAAATACATTTTATTAATTTAAGGAATTTACTATTTAAATCTATTTTTTTCTTCTACAAATGATAGAAATTATTTGCATACGGGGTTTTGGGGTTTTGGGG